CCTGGTGGAAAGGCTGGTAAGAAACAGAACTACCAGACCAACCAGAACTTTCCATTCCTTTATCCGCCACTGGATAGCACCAGCGACAATATCGGCGGAAAAGGTTCGACGAGCGTTCAGGATATGATGGTGGGGAAGAAGTGGGAGGGCAGTGACGTCCCTCTCTCTATTATCGAGGCAGGAGAATTGTTCGCAAGTCGTATGAGGATGACACGTGCAATGCGCCAGCTTTGGAGAGAGCGAGATTTATTCATGAAGTTTGAAAGAGGGTGGAAAGGAGAAACGAAATATGATTCCACAGAGGATCAAAACGAAAGAAATGAGGAAGAGAAGGAACTCGAGACCCTCGAAGACCCAGACCTGCGTTCCCGTATGTTGGCAGTGGACGATTTCTTCCACCATGCTCTTCCGGATCTGCAATCTCTGGTCATTGTGATGATGAAAGTGATGCTCACCAATGTGCAAGATATTGCTATTCGCAATGGGGGTGTCCAGGAGCCGGGCCAAATCGGAGCTCTGAACCGCACGAAGTCGAACTCTAACATGGTCCAGAACCAGACGCTACCGATGCCACCACCGCCGCCTCGTCCCAATGAAATAACTCTAGAAGATCTGGATAATATCCGCTCTCGAGAGATCAGTCAACAGGCAGTATCTGGCGCCTTGTTCCTCCTGTTAAAGTGGTTCAAGGTGTCTCATATTCTGAAGTTCGAGTATATGACCCAGCTCCTCCTGGACTCTAACTACGTGCAGCTCACGCTGAAATACTTTGCGCATCAAAACCTGGAGGATCTCGTGGCTTTCAGATACGACAGGGATGATCTGAGCGTTTGGCACTATTGTCACGTTCACTCAGACCATCCGCCATTGTCACCCACGAGCCCAGACGAAAGATCAGAAGCTTCAGATGGGGATGAAGCCGTTCCACCACCTATTTCGCGCCACAGGAGGTCACCGACAACGCAATCCGAGCCCCAAGCCCCTTTCGACCCAAATAATCCACAACAACAGACGCAACCAGGTTCAGATGCCGACACCCACCCATCGGTCGATGAGCTTGGGAACCCGCTTGGTCCTCTCCCAACAAGCCCGATTACCACCTACTCGTTTCGGCAATTCCAGACCTCCATCCATCTTCTTCGCGTCTTGCAAAAGTTGACACGAGGAAAATCTCACCGCATCCTGTTTCTCGTTCAGTTCAAGTCCTCCCAAATCTTGCGCCGAGTACTACGTGTCCCGGACCCGACCTTGCGGTTATATGTACTCAAGCTGTTCAAATCACAAGTACCCTACTGCGGCCGAAAATGGCGGCAAAGCAACATGCGAGTTATTACGGCGATCTACTTGCACTGCAGGCCAGAGCTGAGGGATGATTGGTTGGCAGGCATGCACGATGCCAACGTTGAGGGCGAGGTCGATGAGGCAGTGCCGCTCGAGTGGGCGCTCAGGGGTTTAACCTTTTGGTGGCAGAAAAGGAGATATCCCGACGTGACAAGGAAAGGGAAGAAAGGCTCGCAACCAACAGTTGAGGGTGATATCGACGAGAGCGAAGTTCGACTGGACGACATTGACGATGACGAACGCGATTTCTTTCAACGGGAACTGGATGCCCTTGGATGGGGCCTCGCCGGGTTGCGCATAGCTGATGGTTCGGAAGATGTTGTCTTTGGTGAAGAGGCCGCCGGTGTCAATGGAGCGTATCCCATGGCTAATGGCGAGACCAACAACTTCAATGCTGGGGTGACAGCATCGGGCAGCACGGGACAACCCGCAGGCATGGGTACGGGAACACCTCTGACTCCAGTACCCCAGCCGCAATGGGTCGTTGCAGACGCAGCCACGCTGGAGAATTGGCAAAATAGTTAGGGACTTGCCGAGAACCCTGGCACCGATCTTGGCGATTGCGACTTGCACGAATCAGGGGACAGTAGTCGACAGGAAGAGCCGCATGAGGGATGGTTAGGTCTTAACGCAGAATTGCGGGATATCTTGGATGGGGTGTCCCTACATGGTTGGGAACCAGGGGAATGAGCTCTGGGAACTGCGGGAGCGAGGTATACAGGCGCTATGATGAAAAAAAAAGGTGCATCTGAATCCACCACATGCCGTTGAGATGGGTTAGATTAGCTATTGGTGTTTTCTGCGTGCTCACCCAAGTCTGGTGCGCGAGTGCCCAGCAGAAACATGGCAGTTAGTAAACATTGATCCTAGCCTTGCCAGCCTCGGTATCTTGTGCGGCCCCCGCGTGGAGCCTCGTCGGTTCCGCCCCTTCGGTATCAACTGTAACCTCGTACCTCGATCGGTCTGACTACCAAGGACAGGGTCCATTTACGGCCGTTGGTCTCTTCCAAATAACAACCACACGTCTCGGCCGTTGTGAGTTCTCGATTCTATATAGGATCATCGACACACCATCTTCACACATCTCCCAATCTTCACATTCACTCCTGTTGTCCCAGTATTTTGTTGTTGTCCACCACCGAAGCCGAAGATATCCCGGGCACAGCGCAGCGGGTTCCATTCGAATCCTCCTTGGTTCCCCTTCCAACCCCGAGTCTCCTCTCCCCCTTCACGCAGACAAGATGCCGCTCCCGAAGCACGAGTATGTCTCCTCCGTATGGCAGCCCGACCTGTTCCGTGGCAAGGTCGTCTTCTGCACCGGCGGCAACGGATCCATCTGTTCCGCGCAGGTGCGTGCCCTCGTCCACTTGGGCGCCAATGCCTGCATCGTCGGGCGGAATGTCGAGAAGACCGTCTCGGTGGCCAAGGACTTGGAGACGGCGCGCGCGGGAAGCAAGGTCCTGGGGATCGGCGGCGTCGATGTCAGGGACGTTCAGAGCCTGGGCAAGGCGGTCGACGAGTGTGTCAAGGTGCTCGGCGGCATTGACTTTCTAATGTAAGGGCTGCATAAATCCCCACACGCAGACACACACACAGTCTCTCATATACTCAAAATCTGCTTTCATGTGCCTTTGTCGAGGTACCTATCGATTGGAGGCTTTTTGCTGACAAGCCTGCAACACAGTGCTGGCGCTGCGGGCAACTTCCTGGCTCCCCTCGCCCAACTCTCCCCCAACGCCTTCAAGACCGTCATGGACATTGATATCCTGGGTTCCTACAACATCACCAAGCTCTGCCTCCCCCACCTCGTCGCCTCTGCCAACAAGTACAACTCGTCGTCCTCCCTTCCGAAATCAGATTCTTCAGGACCGGGCGGCCGGATCATCTACGTGTCCGCGACGATCCACTACACGGGCTTGCCCATGCAAACCCACGTCGCTGTCGCAAAAGCTGGTGTTGACGCCCTCTCGGCAAACGTGGCGATAGAATACGGTCCCCTCGGCGTCACCAGTAACATTATCGCTCCAGGTCCGATTGCAGGCACGGAAGGAATGGACCGACTTTCCCAAGAACACAAGAGACGAGATGATAAGACGGGAGCAAAGGTGGGGCGCAAAATCCCACTGGGACGATGGGGGACAATCAAGGAAATTGCAGACGCGACGGTATATTTGTTCAGCGACGCGGCAAATTATGTCACAGGAGACAGATTGGTTGTCGATGGTGGCGCATGGCACACGTTTTCCGGATCACCTGGATCGGATTTTGAGTATCCAGACTTCATCCTGAGTGGCAAGGAGGTTACAGGTGTGGGTGGCTCGAAGAAAAAGAATTCGGGATCGAAGCTGTAAATGAGGACCAGGAACTCGAGGTTGTGATGTTATATAATATGCTCCGGCGTGCTGGCTGATAGGCCTTCAAGAGGTGGTTAACAGCATTGTCTTTGTTGGGCAGCCTTTCCCTTGGGAGGCCCTTGAGAGGCCCTTGGGAGGGTGGGACGGGATACACGCTGGGCTGCAAATCTTTATGCTGTTGTTAAAAGGTCGCGGTATGGCTAGGCAGGTCTTGTAGCTCGAACGGGATCATACACAGCCACGTCGTTCCAATGTCAAAGCATTGCGACCAATAACCAATGCTCCGGATAGTAGACACAAGACTCGTCCGCTCCACATGATCCCGTTTCTGCTGCGAATCCCGTTGTGGAAGAGAACAGGCAACTTGACGAGCGGCATTGTCGGATAGTCGCCGGCCAATGCTACCCATAACGACCCACAAGCCGCCTTGCCCCATGCTAGCACCTTGATCTCTTGACGACAACCTTCTCTTTCGCCGGTGCTTTCATGATCTGGTCATTGCTGCTGTGTTGGTGCGCGGATGAGGGTGCGAGGTATGAAAGAGAGCGCTCGATAGATTCACTATGTGAACCTGTGATAGGAACGTGGATGTCAGCATAAGGAGCCTCGCTCATTGACCTGCGCTTGGAAATGCCATTCTTCTCGGCCACCATATACCATTGCGGTGATTGGGTCGTCAAGAAGGACATGGATTCTTGTTTGGGCCTGCGCCCGCCATGTCGAGAAAGTCTAGGAGGTTGATGATTGTTGACAGTGGGAGGCTGAAGCTGACCACAGGTGCACTGAGATGTCGCGGATGTTTCGTTTCGGCTGCCGCAGAAAGAACGGTCCGACTGAGAGGTCCATGGGCGTTGAAAATCTCACTGATATCGTCCGTCGCAGAACTGCCACCACCGCTGCGAAAGTTCCATCCTAACCAGCTGGGCGGTGTCAATGCAGGGTCGCTCAAGGGGTTCTTGTGGTTCTGTGGCTTGCTCACGTGGCGTGGCCATCCAGCTCATCACATCCTGGCGGCGCTACAAGGGCTTAAACACCTCCCATGCCAGGCAACAGGGCACAAGACACGAGGCAAATAGCGACAGACTTCCCACAGTGGCCAGCAATCCATCAGCCTAACGCTCTAGGCTTTCGATAGCCAGGTGCGACCACCCCCCGCCCTCACTATCAGGATTCCCTTCTTAAACTGCGCCAGCCTCTTCTCATCACTGCCGGATCTTGTCTGTTGCTCCGGCCAGCCTTGTTACACACGTCGCAAATCTGTTGCCCGCACCTTGGAGGCCTTGCGAAGTCACTGCCTCATGTATCATGCCGCATTTGCACGATGCTGCTCTCTTGTGGGCTGCACTCGTCAACAGGAAGGACCATGCATTTCTCGTTCGAGAAGCCCTCGGTCGCCTATGGTCAAGGAGTCTTCAGGGCTCGCAAGTCGTCGATGAAGCTTACATCAAGGACATGATCCTTCTGAAAACCATCATTGACATCCAACGTTCCCGCATCCGCTCCGACCCACCGAGCCGATTCATTCTCTCAATCAATGACATTCTCGATTGTCTGGACTGTCTTTGTCAGGCCGGAGCAGCATTACTCCACAGTTCTCAAGTCAATAGCACAGGTCGTGGGGTTCTAGAGCTTTCTCAACGGGTTTTCTTCTCGGGAGTCCTGGCAGCTACTCTCACCATTGAGCGAGAAGACAATCGGATGACGACAACAAGACAGCAAGTCTCTAGGCTTGAAATGTGCATCGACAAATGGCCCTTGAAAGTTCTGTGTGGGCTAGCAGGAGACTGGTGCATGGCCATCCTCAAAGGCGCAGTTGAAGACCTCCGGGGAAGCACGAATACTGACAGCTCTTGTGACGGACATTTCGTCCTGGATGCAACCGACTGCGACAATGTAAGCTGATACATTGCAATCCCGGTCGAGGACGCGCTGACATTATAGTTCGCCTTCACGTTCGATCTATCAACGCGTGTACCTCAGGCTATTGCATGTGTTGCCAGAGGATGTGTATACGGGTACCGCAGTGCCCTACTTCTGGCTGACATAAGAGTGATGCTGATCGCCGCATACTTGGGATGTGCGAAGAATGATTCTAAACTCGAGCTTTCAACCGACTCTTCGGCAAGTACTATACGAAACCTTGGTTCAACAACACTCGTCACGGACGAGCTCAACACAGTGCTTGAGCAGTGCAAAACTCTTGATGCATACTGTGAAGACCTGCAGAGTGCCGACGAAGGACGGTCTCTGTCGAACTTTCTGACTTACATTGAGCCTTGGCCCTCTTCCAGCGAAATTGCCGAAATCGTCAATTGGATGGGCCGTGCCAATGGTGCTCAGGCAGTCTCATCGAATACGAGCACACTATCAGCTCATTATCTACAGATCGTTGAGGACCTCGAGCATCGGAACTGGACTGTCGTTAACGCGGACGCGCCTCTGCTGCGGGTCTACAACCACCTGTCTGAGCAGGTCCGAACGTGGACCTCGTTGCGGGTCGATAACGCCCCGTCACAAGAGCTTAAGGTTCCAGATAGGATGTTTTCACAAGGTACGTATGTTCTAAGCTGCAGTGATCTGCATCCCATCGGATTCAAGATGCTCGCAGACTGTATCGTGTCCAGTGGCAGACAAGTAAGCGCAATGACGACCTCACCGAGAACTGATGCTAAAATTTAAAGGTACCCGAACCCAATCAACACATAATCGACGTCTATTTCAGTTGCCCTTTTCCCCATTCAGACAACAGCACTGTCCGAAAAGCCAGGAGAATTGCTCCGCTGTGTGAAATCTATGAGACTCTGCAAAGAATGGTCGCACCTGAGGTCGAATTGGAGGAATCTGCGGACAATAGGGTGAATACACCCCTGGCCTCCGATCAACTATCGGCGGCGCGTCCAGTCAGGAATCAAGAAGCGCTTTTGCCGGATCAAGCCAGTATAAGGTCATACCCACGAGCTCCTGCACCCCCAACCCCGTCAATACCCTCTCTTTACCCCTCTTCCGTGAGCCTAGGGTCTTTCACAGACAGGACTTCATCCCTCACATCTTCAGCAATGGCCAAGATGGGTATACACAAGCGCAGCAAATCCCACATGCTTCAACATAGCCCTCACTTACAGTCCGCACTGAGTCCAGACGCTTCAAACTTGATTGTCTGGGCTCGAAACAGGATAGCTCGCTGGGCATTGGATGGTGATAACCCCCATTGGCAAGGTGAAAAGGTCATGCATGACATTACGTTAGCGGCCACCGGTGCCTCTCACTTTGCCACCGTCAATCAGGAGAATTATCAGCCTTTGCAATTGTCTCTTTTTGATGCTACCGGTGTGTCAGTGGGGAAAATGCCCTTCACCAAGATTCCACAAAGCCTGGCCTTCTCCTATGACGGAACCAAGCTAGCTATCGCAACAATCGACGAATTGCGGATCATCTCAACAAACATAGAGAATTGGTCAAGCTCCTATTGCAGTCAGTCACTGATACCACGATCAAATCATGCGAACGAGAGTCAGAATGCGGGTTCGGATTTCTGGGCAACCGCAAAAGTGCGCAAGCAGATGTTATCATTTTCGACAGATCAGCGGCAAGTCCTTGTAGGAACACAGTATCAGGATGAGGCAGGAAGTACTCTATTCTCGCTTTTCGACATCCCTGACCGCCCAAACGGGAAAATTCCTCATCCATTTCGATTTGTTAAGGATATAAAAGTGGTAAGATATGGCTTATCCTTCCTAGCGCGAACGCGCTCTAACATTATGGACAAAACTGACCGCAGGCCAGGAATCACTAGACCCGGGGTTGACCGCACTGCCGTGCCTTCACAACTCTGGACAGACGACACTAATCATCGGGACAGCCTCTGCTCATAGTCATCAACCGGCGGTTGAGAGAATAATGCCTCGCCATCGAGGGCAACCGCGTCCCCAAGCTGACTCTCAACCGATTATTGGGCCGAGATTATCTATTGCCCGCGTGCACTGTGCCATTGCGACACCTGGGCAAACTCCGTGCTTTGTTGTTATCAATGAGGAAGGCAGTGTCTATTTCATTCGCAAGTCCAGCAGCCGGAATGAATGGGAGGCGGAGCATGTCTCGATATTAAGCGGTCTCCGTCCATTCGAGAAAAACAGCAAGCGCCTGGGAATTCAAATTGCAGCATCTAGTGCGAGCAATGTGACCATGTTTCATATTAGGCACAGGCAGGGCTACCTCACTCAATACGACGCGTCGGACGCTGCGCAGCAACACCAGCAAATTATTGCCCTTGATAATTTCTATCCTGCGGTAGCAGATCCTGCCCAAAGTCCCAAACCACCAAACAACTAAGAGGACCAAGGAACTTTTCATTTGAGCCATACCCAGAGCCATTGTCCGGTCTTGATAGCTCTGGTTTGCAGGTTATCCTCCTTTCCGAACCGAAGCCTATCTCGACCAGCTCTTGGGTCAGTGATATCCATTTCAACAGGATATCTTAGGTTCATCGTCGGCCGCAGACGAGGCAGAAACTGACGGTGCAGGTGCCAACGGTAGAGTATACAAAGAACAATGAATATGACAATCTATACAAAGTCAGAATCTGGACCTTCTTTCGTCTCATGTTAATAGCCGACTTACACTGATGTACGAAGCCACATAATCCGGCGCACTGAACGGACTGATCGACCGCCATCCATTGAGCAAAAGCATCATGGTACTTCCGAAGAGGGCGTAGCATGTTCGCAACGGCTGCCAATTCGATCGGTACGGGTAGGTGGGTGAATGCTTTCTCCTCGAGTACGCCCTCAGATCCTGCTGGGGGTCGACAAAATCTGTATCCCTGAATTGACCTGCGGAGGCTTGTTTGATGCTGTCGAATATTAGCAGAGATCATGGCCAGGAGTCGCAAACACCCACATTGTCTTGTACCTCAGGAAAGTCACACAGATCACCGAATATACGATGAGCATAGAGACTGTCGAGTTGAGGGCCAGCCGACCCAATTCCTTTTCCGTATTAGCCTCGCAGCGCAAAAAGACAAGAGATATATGGACTCACATGTGATGGGGCTCCCCCTGCTGCCAAATACCCGAGAAAGCCAAAAAGCCAACTTGCCAATACCGCATTGCGAGGGACTCCCATGGATCCTGTCTCTTTCAGACGGTTCTGCAGCGTTCTCAGCCATCTTGGCCACGCACCCTGGGAGAGGGCAAGGGCATGCAGAATGCGCGATGACAAGTATAATGAATTGATTCCCGAAGAGGTGGCCGACAGGATGAAGAAGCCGTTGAAAAAGTTTGGCCAGAACTTCTTCCCCGCACGAATCGCCGCAATAATGAAAGCTGAATGGGTTCCATTGTCTAGGACGGAGATGTCTCGATTGGCCAGCAGCGGCTCATCGTATGGTACGTTTAGGCCGACGGTGAAGGTGGTGAGGCTGTAGAGCAAGATGATCCGAATCGCGATTTTCCTGCTGGAGATCTTGACCCCTTCATATGTTCGGAGCTCTCGGTTCTCCGCCGCGGTGATGGTGACGGCTTCGAACCCGATCATTGAGAATATGGTCAATGTCATTGCCGTCCATACGCTGGCAAGATGAGCCCAGCCACCAGTCTGAACCGCACCACTTGGTGTTGTCCATGCACGCGAGATGAAGCCCCATGGGTTGTTGTAAAAGCGGAAATGGGTTCCTGTCTCGATGTTGATGCCGATGTTGAAGAGGATCAGCCCAACGATGAACAGCATCTTCATCACGCCAATCCAGTACTCGAGTTCGCCGAACCACCGCACACGGAGGAGGTTGACAACCAGTATAAGGATGAGGAAGATTGATATCCAAACAGCAGGATCGACACCACTTGTTCCCCACTTCAGTGTTGGCTCTGGATAATGCAACCTTTCGAGGTCGGAGGGGTTGAACCCAAACTGGAAGAGGCCTGCCACTCCTTGCAGTTCCGCCGCAATGATGACGACCCAGGCAAACCTGTTGCTTTTCAGTGGTAAGGCTTTGAAGATGTGAAAAGACTCACCATGCCATCCAGCCTACAGCATAGCCGATCGATTGATCCAAGAACCGACAAGGCATCTCAAACAACGCTCCAGGCACTGGAAAAAGTGCAGACATCTCCCCTAGAGCTGCTTGCACGGACCAAACGATCGTCCCCATCAGTGGATATGCCAACCAGGCCATTCCCGGCCCTGCAAGGTTGATGATTCTGCCGTTCTGGAGGAAGAGACCTATGCCAATAACGCAAGAGAAGGTGATCATGTTGACATGACGCTCCCCAAGGTCACGTCTAGCATGTCGTCAGTCGCAGGGCTTGACATTGCCATTTCTTATCCGTACCTCAAAGACGTCGTGTCCCGTGCAACCGGGGCGATTCGTACAATCTGCTCATCGCTTCCATCGGAGCGCTCCGTATTTTCAGACTCTCGCGGGGCTTCTGCAGTGTCGGCATGAGGCTGCGGACGTTCATTCCCTGGTTCCTCTGGCAGTGACGACGCCTGCGAGCTCGTAGCGTGTCTCGCGTTGGCTCGCATCACACCCATATCGTATGCCTCGCCCTGTGTGGCCATTGCAGCTCAGGAATTGAGATGATAGAACGTAGACCTTCCATGACTTTCTCTCTGGCTGAGCAGCCTGTCTTATTACCACGCGACAGCGTGAAACGAGGCGTCGACGCCGAGAACGTGAAATTTGTCGCCCTGGAATGCTCGTGTTCGAGGCGAGCTTGTTCACTTGAGACCAGGAAACTCATAGTTTTTTCGGGGGCCAGATCACCATCACAGACAGCCTTGAGCCACCAGGGCGCCAGAAAATAGGGGTAGGCTACCTTTCGCTTGACCACTCGACAGGCATTTTGCTCCTTGGAAGTTGGAACCCTCGTATTCATGATGCCCCCATGTCCGGCTTTGATGTGGCCTAGATCGTAGCTCGTCACCAGTCGTCACACTGATATCCCGCTTGATTGGTTCGGCGTCGACCGCCACATTCTCAGCCTGACTGGGAGGACTGAGCCTTTTCTTAGAAGCGACGAGTATTCGCCAGCGCATCGTCCATGCTAGGTCCGAGGGACGCATGGCTGGGCAGGACAGGACAGAAGTGCCCGGGGAGGGACTTTTTGGATCTGGCTGGCTCGCTGGCCGTTGGCTGGTTCCTGAACTTTCCTGACCTAGTTTGCATCTTCTTCTGCACACCGACTCTTGGACTGTGGCCGCTAACACAGTACCGAGTACCGAGTAGAGTGAGGCTGTCTAGGGAGAAAGCCTTTCAAAGGGTCGAAGACGGAGCACATTTTTCCAAGAATGCACTATTGGAGACATTATTGAACACGGCATCTGGTAATATAGTCATGCGTCCAAAGACTAGGACCGGAACGGGCCTCGCGTGTCTCTCCCTCCCGATATATCGGGCAACACGCAAAGCACGATTCCTCTTGAGATTCAGCCGTGTTCTTGTGGCCTTGGCCCCCTGGCCACTGACCCTGGCAACTGGCGCCCCAGGCCCAAGCAGTCTCTACCATACGCAGATCTTGTTCTTGTTGATCAAAGTTCAACGCTGAAGGTTTCAAAGGGTGCGTCCATCTCCATCTCCATCAGAGCAGTGGGTTCAAAGAAAGCCGGACCCCACGGTCCTACTCTCGACGTGCCATCATCGCC